TATCATCTACATATATCACCAATAAGATCTTCCCAGCACTAGACTCATAGCTGAATATGGAATGGTCAACCTGACACTATTTCATTCCAAATTTCTTCACCACTTCATTGAATTTGCCAAACCATGCACGGGGGGATTGTTTAAGCCCATAAATAGCCTTCTTAAGTTTACATTACCTTATCACCCTCCCCCTGAGCAACAAACCCTAGTGGTTGCTCCATGTACACTTCCTCAAGGAGATCACCATGTAAAAAGGCGTTCTTGATGTCAAGTTGAAACAAGGGCCAATCATACATAGTAGCAAGGGAGATCAGAACACGAACAGAGCCAATTTTGGCAACAAGGGAGAAGGTGTCTGTGTAATCGATACCATACAGTTGTGAATAACCTTTGGCAACTAACCGAGCTTTCAACCGCTCAACACTTCCATCAGCAAATGTTTAACAGTGTACACCCACTTACAGCCTACAACATGCTTACCAGGCAGAAGAGTGGTGAGGTCCCAAGTATGAGTACGAGTCAGGACCGAGAGTTCATCCTCCATTGCTTGGTGCCACCCTGGAGAAGTGAGAGCTCCCTGGACATCCTTAGGAACAGAGACAAAGTATAACATAGAAACAAATTGGCGATTGGAAGCCGAAAGGTGAGATACATAAACATAATTGGAAATGGAGTGAAGAGTGCAACTGTGTTTACCTTTCCTCAAAGCAATAGGAAGATCAAGGTCAAAAACAAGGGGTGGGTTGGGGTGGGAACAACTGTCGGATCTGTCGACGGTGACGAAGCTGGGGGAGGAGCCGGTACCTGACGATGCATATACACTTACCGGATGGGTGGTCGTTCAGTAGGAAGTTGCATTGGAGGCAAAGACTTGGTCACAATTGGAACAAGAGGAATGGGGTGCTCAACAGGAATTGGAAGAGGAGGTGATGGGAGAGAAGAAACATCTGACCTGGAAAAAAAAAGGAACAAACTCAAAGAACATAACATCAGGACACACAAAAGAACGCCGGGAACTGGGGTTATAACACTTATACTCTTTTTGAGTCCTAGAATAGCCAAAGAAGATACACTTAGTAGATCGAGCATCTAACTTGTCCATTCCAGGCCCAAGATTATGAACAAAACACACACACCCAAAAGCCCTGGGAGTAAGAGGAAAAAAAGACAAAGTAGTTAACAAAACGGAGAATGGAGAATGACCTTCAAGGATAAACATGGGCATGCAGTTAATAAGGAAGCAAGATGTAAGCACARCATCACTCCAAAAGTGTTTGGGAACATTCATATGATGTAAGAGGGACCGAGCAATTTCCAAAAGGTGATGGTTCTTTCTCTCAACCACCCCATTTTGTTGAGGGGTGTAGGTACACGAGGTTTGATGAATAATGCCATGTTGTTCCAAATTCTTGAAATGGTGTGTAAAAATACTCACGACCATTATCAGAATGAAGAATTTTAATGTGTACACCAAATTGATTGCGAATCTTAGCATAAAATTTTTGGAAGATAGAAAACAATTCACTCATTTCTTTCATAAGGTAAAGCCATGTCATCCTTGAATAATCATCAACAAAAATTACAAAGTACTTGTAACCATTATAAGACACTACTCTGTTTGAACCCTATATGCCCGAATGGACTAAAAAAAAAGGACTCGACATACGACTATCAACTCTAGGACTAAAGGGAACATGATGATGTTTCCCAAACTGACACAACTCACAATTCAAAGTAGAAAGACGACTCAACAACGGAACAAGTAATTGAAGAGCTTTAAGAGACGGATGACCAAGTTTGCAGTGCCACTAAAGAGACTTAGTCAATTTACTAATCTTCATCCCCATCTTGAGATCCTGAAACACACAAGAAGAAGGGTAAAAAGTGATAGAGCAATTAAGAGACTTAGTCAATTTACTAACAGACATCAGGTTAAAGGGAAACTTGGGAACATATAAAATTGAGGATAGGGATAATGAGTCTGTGTCAACATTACCAACACCACATATGGAAAATGTAGAACCATTGGCAAGAGTAATAGACTGTGGTGTGGAGGATGGACAAAGGGATGAAAACACACATGGAGTCCCAGTCATATGATTGGAAGCTCCAGAATCTATAATCCAATGGGAAGGTTTGGATGCCAAACAAGCCATACCTGAGTGTGCAAGGGTAGCTGTGTTCTGCTGAGACGTACCCTGAATGAACCGCTCATACTCATCTCGTGGAACACTCATCATCTCCTTTCTGGAGGCATCTGTAGATGTAGAAGGTATCTGATCAGTTTGTTGAGATTCCTGTCTCGAACCACCACCAGTTACAGTTGCATGATTTGCCCAGGTCGAAGGTGAGCCATGTTTATCATAGCAAAAGTTGATAATACGTCCCTCCATACCACAATGTGTACACCTCCTCTGACCATTACTACATCATCTATCACGATCTCCCCCTGAGTCTCGACCTAAAACACGACCACCACCACGACTATACATGCCACCACCACTACAACCATACATGGATCCACCACCACCACCACGACCATACATGGGTCCACCACCACTACCACAACCAGGCTGACCTTCTTGAGCTCCTCCTCTACCTCCACGGCCTCCCCCTCTCATTATTGCAAATGCAGACCTATCTGATATAGTGGAGTTCTTTGTGGGTCCAACTGAGATCCTCTGAAGACGAGCAAACACTTCCTCAAGAGAGGGAAGAGCAGACCCACCTAGTATCTATTCTCTTACCAGTTCATATTCAGACTTCAACCCTACTAAAAATCTGGTCACATCCAACTACTCTCTCTGTTGTTGCTGAATTTTGACATCAGGTGTAAGAGGATGATACGCATTCAACTCATTTTGCAGATTTCTCATACTAGCATAATAGTTTTCAAGACTCTAATTCCCCTGTTGCAAATTGAAATACTCTTGGTATAGTTGGTAAACCCTAGTAGTGTTGTCTTGTCTAGAATAAAGCTTCTTTGCATGATCCCAGACCTCCTTGGTTGTATCTAAAAACATGAAGTTCACACCGATTTTGGGTTCCATACTATTCCATAGCCATGTCATAATTTGTGCATCCTCTTGCTCCCATTCATCATATCCTTGAGAATCAATTGGGGGTTTATCTTCCCTCACATGCTTCACTTTCTTCTTAGCTTTCAGAAAAACTTCAACAGATTTAGCCCAAGGCACATAATTCTCACCATTCAATTTGATAGATGTCATCTGCACATTTCGATAATCAGAAGGGACCATCACACTAGACTTGCATTCGTTGCTGTCTCCCATGACTGCACAAAGAAAAGGAAAGAAATTCTACCACTAGTTTGTCACTCCACTTCACTAATTTGTCACCACACTACACACCAACGACTGATTATTACTAGGGTACCTACTATCATAGGTTTCAGCAATAACAATCACCATTGTTCACCAATTTCAGCAACCACACCACTGCTGTCTTCCACTTTCAGCACCATAAACCATCATAATACACCTCACGAACAGGGGATTTGGTTCTGCAACACATCACAATCTGTTCCTCACTGCTACACCCATGTAAACTACCTATCTGAACTCCCACCAACCAAACTTGCACCGTCACTCAACCTCACACCTGAAACCAGCCCTCTTTGAACTGCCGAGTGGAGGGTTTTCTACCAACCACACAAAACAGCAACAACTCTACCCATTGGAGGCATGAAAACCTCCAGAACAAGAAAATGATCAGTCCTTTTTAGCCCCTCTATGAAACTCCTATCTACCAATGAGAAATCTGCAAAACACTAGGAGAGTATGCGCTGAATAGAGGGAGAAAAAGAAGTTGATCTGAACTAGTTAACCTGGCTCTGATACCATGATAAAATTCAGGTATAGTGTCCTTATAATTCCAGATAATAAGAAGAAGAACCTGTAGAAACAGTAGGGAGAAGAGAAGAAAAGAGAAGAGAAGAAGAGAAAACTGTTCTAGTCGAACTAGAGAGCAAAATCTTAATTCTATAGTCGGCCAGGCTTTATTTATACCTTTCTAAACAAATCAGAATTAAACTTATGCCCTCACTTAATTGAGAGACACATCAGCTAACTTAAGATCTACTTGTAATTACATTTAACATATAACTTAATGTAAAATGCCTATACTACCCCTCTACAGCCGACTCTAACACATTGTCCTAAAAACCATGCTATCCAAAAGGTGGGTAGCAGAGGGAATACAGAACAGCTTTAAGCTGGCACAACTTTCTCTTGTATTATTCCATTTTATAGTATAACGGAACTGATTATTCTCATCAATTTTTACCATTTATTTTTCCATCAAATAAACCGAAAATTATGTTCTGTTATTTTGCACTTTTTTCTTGTATCAAAAAAATTATTTTTGGTACTCTAGCCTTTTTGCTTTCTTTCTATTGGTGAATTACTTAGATTTAGTAAATATGTTTTCAAGAAAATGTGTTAAGAGGCCCTCCTTGTAAATGAAATTATGAATATGATCAGCAACAGGAAAAGGAGTATGTTGACGTAAAAGATATGAAGGGTTCAAGGGGTATCAAAGAAAGTATAAGGGCTACCCTAGCCCAACAAGAGGTTTCCATGTCTAATGTATACAGAAGGCACTTAGAAAACCTATATATTAGATTATTAGTTCTCTTGTTCAAATTTTCTGTTTTGATAGTTTATGCTATCAGAAACTCTTCTTTTTTTTTTGGTGCCACACGACAATAATAAGTTGGTTTACAAGTCCATTTTGGAACCCAAGTTCTTTTACATGGACCTGAAACCTAATGATCTTATATCAGTAACTTTTCACTTCATGGTTATTTGTTTAGAAAATCTAGTTGTCAGTTATCTCATTATCAAGAAACTGCCACTTGCTATGTTTTTTTTTTTTTTCTTTTTTCTTTTTTCTCTTTTCTCTTTCTTGTATTGGTTCTCTGTGGCTGTCCTATTAAATGAGAATATTTCCCTCAACAATCTTCATTAATGTTTCTGCAGAACCCAAAGTGGAACCCATCGAGATTGGAGGATGTTGTTCCAAGTGAAGTGGATGCTCTCTTTGAGCCACTGGGCCCAGAAGTTGATGAACTGAGAGTGTGATTCTTAGAAGATCAAATTGTTCCAGTCTTTTAGTTTCTTGTGTTCATAACAGCAGAAGACTTAAATCGTCATTAAATAGATTGTGATCCTATGGACAAAAGAATAAAAATTGGATGAGTGATGCCCACTACATACCATAGTTTTGCGTCACCATACTATAGTTTTATTATTTGTCCATGAAGCTACTATAGTTTTGCATCATCAATTTGCGTGGGAAGGAGCACATTTTGAATATTTGGTACATGACACAGACTGTTCTCACACTAGCGAGAGGAAGGACTGGATACTGACCTGAGCTCCGGCATTTTTTGCTCATAGCGGCTACTCTAAAACATGAAGCAATGTTCTTACACTTGTCAGCCAGAGATTTTATCCAAGCACCAAGCAATAACACCTTCAGACTGGTACTCGGTGCTAATTTGTACTTTAATCTCCCCATGCAACAGCTCTTGAATTCAAGACAAGGAAAATGGCTTCATTAGTGAAGACTAATACCCCAAATGTTGTGCCAAGATGTGGACTCTTCCTGAGTCGCATTGTTTTGCAAGGTTCAAACTTCAAAGTATTGGTACGATATGTATCGGTTTTTCAGGCTGTCGATACGCAAAATAAAAAGTATTTGCGACCAGTATCAACTTTCGACAATAGTAAAGGTGAGTAATAACTACAGTGCAATGAGGGTTAAATTAAAGGAATATAAGAGTATCGATTGTTTGAAAGTGCTAGATACTAATTTTTGTTGAGAATATGTCAATTAGAATTTTGAGCTTGGCTACTCTACCTATCGGGTCTATTTAATGTATCTTTGGATCGATATTGGAGTGAGATGCGGTCTTAACCTAAACCAGAGAGAGAGAGAGAGAGATGCAACTACATTCAAAGTCAGTGAAGGATGCATAAGGTTTGTAATGAATCGATATTTTTTAGGTTATTCTCAGAACATTACTAGCTCCTATTTCCACACTAATCATTTATATGATGCTAACCATTGTGTTCGGATCTGCTGATAATCCATGCTTTATCAACTATAGGCGCTTGCAAGGTTCAAAGTATCAACATGTATCGGCCCATATCGGCCGATACGTATCGTTCTGGGACCCATCTGATATGCAACTATAGTGAGTGTATTGGGGGTCTGACCGGTTCAGGGTGTGGAGGAGACCTAAACCAGCCCCCCTGAACCTGTTTCAAAAAAATAAATAAATAAAACATAAAAAAAAGGGTATCAATTCGTCCGATATGCCCGGCATCTCGGGTGTGTCAATATTTTGAACCTTGGGCGCTTGGCAGACCCCACCCTTATCACAGTCAAAAATTGGAGCAACTTGTTAACCCAAAATTTCCCAAGTTATGGGCCTTCATTTTATACTTACAGGATCATATGGAAAGCAGCTCCAGAAGCAGAATCCCCGTTTCATGTAAAATTTTAATAGATGGCATAACAACCCAGCATGTTCAACTACCTTCCAACATGTAATGTGTTGGACCCACCCATCATTAACATTAAAATTCTACGCCCTCGAGGTGGCAGATTTGGGTATATACCTAGACGTTTTTTTTCCATTCATATAAAAAGTAAAGGTTAAGAAAAAGAAAAAAAAAAACCAGAAACACTTCGCTTTTGCACATAATCATGCCACCAAATATAAGTACATGTTGTACTTTGTTTAGAAAGAAAAACTCAAATGTGGAAAAGCTTCCAAAGTTTGCAGCTTTCCATGTTCAACCTCATTGGGGGTGGTTCATAACAAAATTTGAGTTCGATTTTTTTTTCAAAGTTCAAAGAAAAACGCACTTCATTACCTATGATAAGTCATGCAATTACCTTTAGGAGTACAGATTATTTGGGAAATGTTGCAAAACTCTAGAAAGAGGCTGGAAAAGGCTTCATGTTGGCCAAGCATATTGAAAATTTATTACGCAGAATCCTCTTCCAAATCATGACTACAAGAAAAATACCAAGAAAACAGGGACTAACAAATGACTACAAAAGAAAAAGAGTAGATTTAGGAGCAATCTCCACTCCTCAAGCTCTGTAGCAGCTGTAAATAGCCATCATTTTCAGGACTGATGTATCTGCATGCATTAATACATAAAATAAAATAAAATAAAATAAGATAATAAGAACTTTTCATGAACTGGTTTCTGCCAAAACTATACATACTTTCCCTTCAACATGTTATCTAAAAAGGTGGTTAAGGAGAAGTGGAGAACTTTATTTTTGGATATCTTCTTTTGATTGAAATGATAATATGCAACAAGTGATTGGGAAAATAGGAAAGCTCATACCCGTGTCGAAACAGAAAATCAGTGATGACAAGAGAGCAGTTTGGCTTGAAAAATTCCACCCTCCGGATGATGTTCATGACATGTGTGACAGGAACCAACTTGAAGCTTTCCACCTCTCCATCTGTAACATTGAGTTGAACTGAAATATCTTATTGAGAAAAAGTAAACAAAAAAAAAAGAGAAAAACTGAGTCTGAAACCAAAATATTCTAAAGTGTCCATTCTGGTCCAGTGGGAGAAGGCAATTCCTCAAGGGCTGAGCTGCTTGCTTTTCTTCTAGGGTTAAATATTGGCTTTTCTTCAGGCTGGAACCAGTGTTCTAAAAGGCTTAGGCACATTTTAAGGCATGCATCTATCCTAAACCTAGGTGCAGCCCCTTTCAAAAGGCATGCACATGGTGCACCTTGCACCTCAGCCAAGGTGCACACCCTTTTTAAATGTCTTTTTTTGTTCTTTTTTTGGAGATTATTATGTGTCTTACACCTTTATAGTTTATCAACTTCTAAATTACCTTTAGTGCATTCACATGCTTGAATTGTTGAGTGGTTGAAGCACTTTAATAGGATCCGCATATGTTTTCTTTCACTTCCACATTTTCACTTTGAATATGTTTTATATGCTATGCTTATGCATTTTATTTTGAGCCACTAGGCTTTCTAGAACATTTAATTTCTTTTAAAATTCAGGTTGGCATTTTTTATGTATTGCTTTTTTTTTTTTTCAAAAATTTGTGTATTGCTTCAAAAAGGCGCGTGACTTGCTTTGCACCTTATGCATTATGCACTAGAAGGCCTTTGCACTTCTAAAACACTGGTTGAAGGTGATATTGTAGTGATTAACTGAGACTTTCGATGTTGATGGAGATCAAGCCTTTGGATTTCTTATTAGCGAAGATAAAGCACCGGCTACTTACTTGAATAGTTCTTTCAGGTGGGTTCCCAGAGTGGCTATTTCCTTACTTGATTCCCTTGCAAGAAGTGGGATTAAAAGGCCCAAACTGCTATGGAGGGGAGGTACTAGGCCAGGCCCAAGGCTGTAACAATAAAGTTAACAACTACTGTAATATGGCATATATTTTTCTGGTTTTGGTCATTTAAATGCTGCTTGTGCCTCTTTCTTGTTCCCTGCTGTTAAAACTCAACACCGGCGGTCCATGAAAATTTATAATGTGCTATAGAAGGAAACCTTATCCCAATGGGCTTAAAACTTTTTGCTCTTTTTCTGTTTAATCTACCTAATGGATTAGACCTCCTACTCCTACTTTAATTAATTAATTATCTTTCTTTTTTTT